TGGTTGCGATGGATTTTTTGACTTTTGGCCTATGGGCGCAACCACTGTGCATTGCAGTCAACTGTCGGAGATGTGCAGATTCCAACATGTAGTATAACACTTCCGGACTAATAAAACGCCAGAGCTCTCGTCCCATGGGGCAACATCTTCATTAGCAGCAATAATACGATATGTGAAGTCTTCGAATTGCGGAGGGGGAATTGGTGGAGCGAGACAGGAACAGAAGTGTTGAGAGAGCTGCTAAATGGGCAACAATAAAGAGGTTTTTCACGCTTTTCCACGCCAGAGGGGGCATCGCATTGGACATCTGCAAGTTGGGCTCGAGACGCCCATTTAAGTGTCCAATAATTCAATCACATCAAACGCCAGTCTAATGGATCGCTAAAATGCCGTTAAAGGCCTTCAATTACACCAAATTGAGCTTGAGATTCGGTCAGCACCTAGCTGCTAGGGAAAGTTGGGAAAATGCTCAAACAACAGTAGGCCCTGGATTTCATCGGCAAACGATTTGGTACCTAAGCTGGAGGCAAACATATTTCAATCATATTAGGTGCTCACGTTGAGCAGCTAACACCATATTTCGGCTTCCAAATTTCAATAAGAAATAAATTTTTTGTGTAACCAACAAAATTTTACAATTTTTTGCCATTGCATTTGAGAATATTCTAAATGCAGGAGGCACAAAAATTTTAGTTTCTATATATCTTTGGCATTTTCAACGCAAAGTTGTTTTCATTATTTCGGCTTCGGAATTATTTTTTATGTCAAATTTTTGCTAAAAACTAGTTTTGTATTTTTTTTGTTTGTTTTTTTTTTTTTCATTTGTAATGACAGTGCTTAATAAATTGAAGCGAAATTCTAATGGCGACGAGGAGGAGCCCGATACTTTCGTCGGGTTTTTAAAGGTTCTTCTACGGGAGCTGCTGATATTTCTCATCTGTTTCTCGGTGTCGGCGCTGATTTTTGTGCTGTTTTTCTCAGCATTCAACAGTTTGACGGCGCAGGAACTCAAGCGCCGACCGCGCTCCGACGGTTGCCTCTGGCCCAGGGAATGGTGCCACCTGTTCAACCGCCAGCCAACTGCCCCGAGACGAGCCATCCTCAGCCGGTGAATACGTCTTCAGTTATCAGCTTGTCGGTAAATATAACCATAGATCCCTATGTGTGGATACACATGCTAATTTGAATTATTTTCAGAATACAAATAAGCCGTAAATAGAGGCAATTAATTATAACCAATATGGCACACACGTATATCACTCTGTAAATAGAAACAACTGCACCTTACTTGTCATTAGCACACCATTTCCCCCTCTACTGTGGCGTCACTTAAAGTTCCGAACTGTCGGGTATCTCCTGATAAAGTTTGAAGTTAAATAATATATATATGCCACCGGGCAAATGTCTCTCGTCAAGATTGAGACATAGTCCCGGGTCAATATTAACAATATGCAAACACTTGCATACGCAGCAATACCTAAACCTAAAGATACATAACAATACGCAAATCCTAACTATGAGATAAGCAGCATGCAACTCTCAAATGGCCATTATAACTACATGTGTTTTGACGCCCAGCTTTTCAATTTGTTTCGGAGGCAGCAAAAAGGTGAGTCTCGAATGCCCTGTGAGAACTAATTAATGCTTATTCAACTATTTCACAGCTGGATCCCGATTCATATCAAAAGATGTCTTCCGCAAATAACTATAAAACTACCCCTTAAAAAAAACACTATCCCTATTGCTGACTACACACATGATATATCCCATCCTGTAAATAATGACATAAATATTTCAATAAGTCGCATGGTTTTCTTTAAATGGGTTCCATATGGGGAATATTATAAGCTGGTTTTGCCAATGCTTTTCGATTGGGGATGTCATGTCATTCTTCACAATTATAGCTTAAAGCATAGTAGTGCAGTAGTGCAGATAGTAACGACGGATCACCAGAGATATATAGCTGTCAATCGGGTTGACAGCGCTACAAGTCGTGAAAATGGGAAAACAGTATATTGGAAATGTATGTAACCGGCAGAGAGTCGTGGCAGAACCCATAAACTATATATATTCTTGATCAGGATGACGAGCTGAGTCATGTATCGGTCTGTCTGTCCATACGCAGTACAAGAATATATTTGATTGATCAGTCCCATTTCCCTTTAACGATAATTCATGCGTGTGTATGAGAATGGGTGAATAGAATGATTGGAATGTCAGCTCCATGCAGGGGATCTCCTAGTCGAGCACTCTTACTTTATCAAGTAACAGAGGCTCACAGAGTTTTAAGTCATTCCATTTCTCTGCATCATTAGTTAGTTTTAGTATTTGATTTTAGATTTTTAGGAAAAATACATTCTGTAAGCATATGTATTTACATATATAAATGTAAACAAAATTTTAAGCAGTTCTTAGTGTTCGCAATATGGAGCTCGGGGAAGATGAGACGAAGCCCTCAAGGGGCCGCCGGCTTCTGTCGAAGCTTGTCAACTGCGTGGAGACAGTGCTGCAGAATGTTCTCTTTTTCCTGGTAATTGCCACATTATGTGCGCTGATGATCTTCACCCTGATTATTGCGATGGAGGATGTGGCCAGGCTGAGGCAAATGCGCCAATCCGGCCTGAGAATGCTGCCAAAGACTAACGACAATCTGGAACACATTCCCCCGTGCCGCTGCCATTGGCCCTCGGCGTGGTGTCGACTCTTCTCCAACTGCGACACAAAAATAATACACCTCAGGCGGCTCCCTCACAGTCGCGAACAGACGACAGAGAACATGCCGGGAAAGCAGCTGCCAACGGCAATGCCTGACAGCACGAGGCTCGGCAAGCAAGTGTCTCATCAAATCGAGGAGCAATTGGACTTGGAGAATTTTCCGCAAACGTAAATGATTTGTCTGGATAGTCTCCTTGAACCTACTAGCGAATACAAGTTAAATTTTTTCGGATAAACTCAGAACCAAAGTAAAGTAGCACGAAATACTCGCCATCATTCACGAATATAACTTAAGCTCTGATATATGAATGCCTTTGCAGATTTAACCGGACCTTTAAATTGCGTAGAGCCCAACATAATACCGTTGTCATTCAAGTTCAGTGAATTTGATTTATTCAATATCTGGCGTCCTTAACAATAACTGAACTGTCGGGTCGTTCCTGATTTGTTTGAAAATATCTAATATATATGCCACCGGGCAAATGTCTCTCGTGGAAAGCGAGACAAGCGTTGTCCCGGGTCAATTTTGACTTGAGTCCCCTCACAACTTTTTCTAGCTACATACCAATCTCCTAACTATGAGACGAGCTGAACGCAACTCTCAGATGGCCACTAATAGTATACCATATCTTACACACAGCGTGCAGTCTATGAGATTTCATGGCTGCCTGGGATGCAAAGTATCTTAGCGAGACAGATGTCGAATGAATGGTGCCCCTGGCCTAGGCACAGCTGAAATTTTCTTATATGACAATCGCACACGCAATTATTTCAAATAATATAATAAATTTTAAGTTAATCTCAATACTAAAGATAATTTATTTGTTACCTAAGGGAAAAGATCTATCGAACCTATATAATATATTTGAAAAAAAAAAAATTATTGCTTATCACGTAAAATGTTGTACAATAGAAATATACTTGAAGCAGAAGCAATGCAAAAGAATGTGTATTACAATGAAATTTTAAAGAATTTTTTGGAATTTTTAATAAAGGTGCCTGCAATGAATACCAATTTATTTATACTTGCGCTTTTGCAAATGCAAGCATTTGGGTGAAGTAATTTTTACGTGACATCAGTGTCATTTATGCAGGAATTTTATATATAAGAGTTCGGGTGTCTTCCAGTCGAGCACTCCCAGCTTTTGATTTTTTAATATTTACTCTGATTTGAACGAATCAGACTTATATACAACTTAACTATGCAGCTTTAGCATTACCTCAACCTTCGGTTTGTTCATTTAAATACCTGTAGATTGTAAATATTGTTCGCTTTCAAGAGTTTTCTGAGCTTTAATAAAACAGATTACCAATTAACTCAAGCGCAACGTTAAAACGGAACTGTTTTTGCCAACAGCTCACGATTTCCTAACCAGAAGCAAGCGACTATCCCTGCTCACGAGATGTGAAATCTCAGATGCTGAAAAAATGGTCGTGTAAGCTTCTGGTGTGATAGACATCTTGGGCAAACAAAGCTGCAAGATTTTCGGCTAAACAGAAGTTGCGCATGCGCATAATGAGTTAATTGAGGTATTGAAAAGAGAAAAAACACCGCTACTTCAATCTTCAATCCAAATGAAATGAAGTGCATAATGTTTGCATTATCATGCTGCACAACAGCAGCAGCAGTAGCAGCAGCAGCAGCAACAGTCGCAGTATCAAAAACAACAACAACAACAACTGCAGCAATAACAATGCCAAGCAGCTGCCGCTGCTATTGAAGGGCAAGAGACAACATTGTTGCTGCTGTTGTCGTTGTTGTTGTTGTTGTTGTTGTTGTTTTGCCTTGCATTTGACTTGGCCAAAATCGTGGGCGTTGCTGCAATCGACAATAGATTTTCGGGGGTCCTAAGGTCTACTCGTTGCGGCTGTTGTTTCAATTTGCTGATAACTACAGCTGTATGTATAATTATTTCGCTTCGGCATAAAGACATAGAATTTGCATAGATCCAGCAGCAGCAGCAGCAGCTGCCGTCGAGAACGCGAGAAGCTAACCAGCGCGGGCCAAGCTAAACAATTGCATAATTGCAGCAAAAAGTCGAGCTCTCATCGACTAAAGCTACCCTGTATAAAAGATGAATTGTACAGATTTTAGAGTATTTTTAGTTAAACTAAAAACAAACCAAAAATTGAAAAATCATTTATTGCAAAATTATATAAATGAAGAAATAAATTATAATAACTTTACTCAAAAATGTAAAACAATGCTTTAGTATACCATAGTCATAGTGAAAATAAAGCGTCTCATATAAATCAACAAAAATTATAATTACATTGCAGTAATTGTATTTACTTTAGCCTAATATAGTAAACACCTGAGTGGCGTTCAAAAATTGACAATTATTTTCAGGGCCAAGTTCACTGTTTTAATTTTTATTTACACCGGAAAAGATGTTGTTAATTGGACAGAGCATTTTTTGCTATTTCCGTATCTGTTCTCTCTTTTCATCCATCTATCTACCCATTGCAACAGCTAAATGTTATGCAGGGTATAACAAGCACATTTGTTTTGGCTTTTGCCATTGACAACTGGGCGGCTGGTTGGCTTTGTCTTTATCATAAAATTTAATTAAAATAATAAGTGGTTATGGCGCTCACACAGCCGCCAATTCCTACTTATATATATGTATATCTTTATATATTTCTGAATATAAGATTGTGAGAGTGATTTTGCAATATGCTGCGGCCGCCTAGAATCAAATTCGACTGCGCTTTAATAGCATCCCAACACGAAATGGAACGTGCAGCCGCATTGAGCTGCGATGGAGCTGCGACTCCTCTTGATCAATCAGCGATTTTGAATATTTATGGGGCGCACTTAATTAGGCAGAGCTCACAACATTATTACTATATTTATGCATGACATTTTCCAATTCTGGCGGCCAAGTTCGTTGCCTGAATCATTTGCTTATGCTGGGAAAGTTTCATTTTTTACTTAGAACTAAGTCGAGATTATTGGCCAAATCGAAGTGAAACAAGTATAAAATACATGAAAGAATCCAAAACAACAACAAAACGCAGTTTGCGTGTTTGACATTCTCACTTAATTTTATAAATTGCATAATCATGAATGGCTTGAATATGTATTTAAATCGGCTTTTGTTGGCCCGCTTTTGTTGGTCACACAGATTTATTTATAGCAAAAAAATATACAAAAAATAAAAACATTTGTCAAGTTTTGTTTTGAGCCCAAAGCCGGTTTCGCGGGGGGATATGGGAGCGAGAGCAAAATCAAAAGAACTTTTATTGCTAATATACAAAATATAACAATACAACAATGTGCCATATCTCTCCCTCTAAACGGTCGAAAGCATTGACTCAATTGGAAAGTGCTCGACTGAGCGCGCCATTCGGCTTATGTTAATTGAGAATTTGTTTACCAATTATAGCGCTGCTCTCATGCTGTGACCGAGAAATGGCCCACAAATTGGACAACGGATACGCACCCATCCCAAAGTAATCGCTCCACGGAGTGCTGAAAACGATATTAGGCTAGCTTTTTGCTGTGCCCGATTGACGGATCTTTCTCCATTTGGCCGTTTGCTGGATTTTGGCAATTAAATAAAACATGAAGCAGTCGGATTCGGCTTACATAACCATATGTAAATTATGCCAACAAATGAAGAAGAAATATTGCACGAATACGATGCGATGCGATGCGATGGGCTGCTCAGCGAGTATCGCATGCAAACAGCAGGAACACACCTCAAAAAGAAGTCTGTTCGCCAAAAGGGAAGCTCAAGCTGGTAGCTGCCTTCACTTACATGCCCCGCCCGCTACCCCATCCATCCTAACCATCCCGACGTGTGCACATGGGCTCCACATGGGCACAGCCCAGCCCATGCAAGAGACTGGACCGCAATTGAAGCGCAGCCATTGACAAGATAATTTCCTAGGAGCTGCATGCGCGCAGTAAATTCGCTTTAATACTCTAAGCGAACAGAGACTATGACAATATTGCAAAAATATATATATTAAATTTAGCGTATTCAAGTCAAATAACAAAATTAAATACAAAAGTTTAAAGTTGTAGCAAAAGCTATATTTAATTAAATAGATTCTCTCGATTATCCTCGAAAATTTAAAATTGTTTTTGTTATTATTATAATTTTTATTCAATTACAGTATTTATATTTATTTTATTATTATTATTTTTTTTTAAGAATTTTACTGTATGATTTCGGGTTTTATTATTAAAATGAAAATTTAAAGCCTCTTTAAGACCTCAAATTAGTATTAAAAAAGTATGTGTGAGCATCTACCAGACCGTGTTCTTTCTTTCAGAAATCGCAGCGCTCATCCACGTTTTATAATCTCCTTTCGTATTCACTCTTTCATCAAAATCATTCCAGTCTACACCTACATATTTTGCATTTTTGAATATCTTTTATGTATATATCTACTATATATTTAACAATCTACATTTAAATATCCCTAATTGATCCGTTTTAGAGTATCCACACTTTTTCATACCCAATCTTACTGTGTATAATGTCCATTGTCCGTCTTCGTTTTACAATTTGTACGAAAAGGAGAGAAGAGAAAAAAGCGTTGGCCACGATTCGGCTGGCTGAAAAAAGCATAAAAATTGGCCAGTTTCGCAGTTCGCGTTAAGTTGACTGACTACCAATTGTTTTAGCCACGAATCTGCGACTCCTTCACGAATTATTTCAAACACAAACTGCCGCCAACATTCAAGAAGGTTCATAATTATCAATACCCCAAGCCGTTTGCGGTCTCTGTGGGGCTGTGGCTTCTGGAAAATGTTGTAACCGTTCGAATGGTAAAAGCCAAAAAGAAGCAAAACCAGGAAAAAACAAAAAAGAAGCTAACTATAGGAGCTGCCAACTGCAGCTGCTCTTTGGGCCAAGAGTGCAAAGCATCGGGTTAAATAGGTCTGTCTGCCAGACAATCGAAATGTATATTTACATTACTCAAATATTCAATTCGTTTTGCTCGGCTGGGGTCATGTTCGACTGGAAGGAGACCTACCTCAGAAGCGATTCCAAATTGATCTGTTTCCATTACTCAATATTTCCGTACAGATATGTATATGTATATGATTTATTATGCACCGCTTGAGCTCATGTTGATGATAAATATGTTTATAATTGAATTATGCATGTGTACTTAGCCGTATTAAGGGCGAGCCTTAACAAATTAGTTTTTCACTAATGTCTATAGTGTGTGCGTGTGTGTGTGAGCGCGTGTGCATGCGCGTGTGTGGCACACAGGTCAATCGCAGCGCACAGCTGACAGCTGCCCTCATTTCTATTAATTTCATCTCCATATATACAGCCATTGACGCTAAAATAAATACATGCTCAAAATATAATAATAATAGCAATAAAATAAATTAAAGAAAATAAAAGAAATAAACATTTATATTTTTTATTTAAAATTTTTTTGAATTTATATTTTAGAAAAAAAAAACATTTTTTTCTTACAAGTTTTTTATTAAAATGTATTTTGATTTTATATTTTAGACAAAAATTTGCTTTGTGCTAAAACATATTAAAATATAATTCGTGTACTCTCAATGAAAAAATACACAGTTATTAAATTTTAATTTTCAATATATACCTAGTACAAATTTAAGAACATTAATTTTTTTATAATTTATATTTTTTTAAATTTATATTTAAATACACACATTAAATTGAGAAAATTTAGTTTTTACTGAACATTTTTTTTTTTCATACATAGGTATGTTATCACAAAAAAAAAAAAAACAAAAAAAAACAAAAAAAAAACATTACAAATTTTTTCATTTCCCAAATTCGAATTATTTTAAATATAATTTTTATACATTTACACATATTTTATACCAATTAAAATGAAAAAAATGCAAACGGTTTTATATATCAACTAGACTTATTTAGATGACGGCGATTGTATTTATTCGTATTATTTACACAACAACCTAATTTGAGCACTTACAAAAGAAATGAACTGGAGCAAGCAATTTGTGTTTAAGTCTTATTTTTCATTCAATGGCCGCAACATTGGCTCTTAAGGGCAACCGCGAAATATCGTCAGCTAATTTTTGGCACTTGTGCGGAATTTCTTTAGTCGGAAGCACGCCCCCCGCCCACCACTCTGCCAGCCAATCAGCATTGAAAACCGCAACAGGTGATAAGAGCCGTACGAAATGTATACAATTTTCGACTGAATAATACAAGAGATCGGGCATGCTGTATATATGAATATACATTGGCCTGGCTGTAAAAGTTGGCACGCCGATTGTCTAAGCGGACTTGCATAACCTCATTTGTGAGCCTTATGTGCGCAGCTCGCGTGATGTCGTGTACGCAGATACAAATAAGAGACGAAAAAGATACAGCGACAAGTGCGCCACACGAGATTGAAGCTGAAGCGTGCGGAGCCCAAAAGTCGAGCTCCGTTTTTGTGCCCTGAATCTGAATTCGAAATGGATTGGAATAAGTATTCAGGTATGCTGATTTTAAAGGTGTTTGCTGCAAACAGCTCTCAGCGGGAAGCATATGCTGTATATATAGGTTTTATAACTAACCCTTGTCAGTTTCTATCGATAAAAATCGATAATTATCCATCGGTTTTCTGCTATCAATTTATATTTTATGACCTTAAATATAAACAAATTAAACCAAAATAAGTATAAATAAAATAAAATTTATAGCAGAGTAAGTTTGATAATTATCTATAGAAAGTCTTAATAGATATTAATATTAATATATTTTCTAATTCACTCAAGCATAATTTTATCTAAGTTTACCATTTCTTCAGTTTTCAAAATATACTAAATATTTTAAACATTGTATGATATAAAAAAAATAAATAAATAAAAAAACTGGGTATTTTCTAGTCGATCTAGTCGAGATTTACGTTGCGATTAAGTCTCTACTCGTTGATGATGATTATTAGGATGCCGCAGCTATCTTATTTTTATACCCTGAACCCATTGAAAATGGGAAATCAGGGTATAATGGTTTTGTTAAAATGTATGTAACAGGCAGAAGGAGGCGTGGCAGACCCCACAAAGTATATATA